ATGCAAGTATATGTATGTGTGGAATCTTTGAGACTCGGCGCAAACTTTTTCGCGGCCCTGCCCATCGAGACCCTCACATACCTCGCGCATTCTTGCTGTTTGCAGACGGTATATGGAGCGCATGGAAATGTGGTTCGAGGATTGCCTGCCTCGGACCACTCCGCATACTGGCGGAGCCCTGGGCGAGAACGATTTGCTGTCGGCAGCCGTCCTTCAACCTGTTTGCCCGGCTTGCTGCAGTCTTGTAGCGATGGCTCATTGCCCCGCCCCCGCTGTTGCGTGTATCCGTGCCAAACACCATTCCGGACTTTGCTGCGTGGGTGGCCAGGGTTTCCTCGACTGCTGTGCACTTTGCCGGGCCCGCGCGGCTGGCGTCTTTTCGCTTCTGTCGCCTACGCGCGCCAATCCAACGGCTCTGAGGGAGGCCCGCCTAAAAATTCTGATACGTGTTGCTCCGCCCTGTTTCTCAAATCTTATGTTCTACGTGACATGTGTCCGTGCTCGGGTTCTTGGCTCAGTTGGCGACCTTCAGCGCAACAGATAAGAGCCACCAGAGGACCGGCAGACCGGGCACAAGAGTACCGGACCATTGGACAGAGCCACACTTGTCAAAAACTACGTGGTAATACTTGGACCCGAACCAACATCAACACCACAAACAGAAAGGAACTCTCACCCCTTCTCATCGCGCTCGCCCTGATCTTTGCGTGCCCGAATGGCTCTCGCTGAAGCTGGTGCATGCTTTCTGCGCTTTGAGATTCTATGCACTGGTGCACGATGATGGAATGCCCTCGTTGGTGGCCTGTGCGCTTGTTACACGAATTTAAGCTAGTCTCCTCTTCGTCACATTTTCACCTGACATCTTGGTATTTCAGCGTCGATACTCCATGTCATGTCTCAGAGAAGAAGACAAAATTCATTCCCAATCGATGTTGGTCTAACCTCAACACAAACGAGGTGTTGAGTTCACGCATGATTGACATGGACTTCGTTGCTGTAGGCGCCTGGCTCCTCTGATCCATAGGACAACGGCCTCGGTGCAATTCGCTTGAACGGCAGAAACTTCAAGCAGTGCCTGCCTGGCCTTTGACGCTGAGCAACTTGATGTGTTTTGCCTCGGCATTCGTGTGCAAGCCGCTCGTTGCAGGTTCTACGAAAGGGCCAAAATTCTAAAATTCCTTTTGCGAGTTTCACTAAGATCCAAGCGCCGAATGCCACTTGTTGTTTCGATATCCTGCCCAACATCAGCTGCAAAAACGCAAGTGGTTGAGCCTGCATTTGGGCACAAGAATAAACTACCGAAGAGTTGGAGCCCAGTGACTACAGTGTCAGCGCGTGGAAATTCGGTCTCCTAAGCAAAGCAACCGACGCCATGAGAGCACTCCCCTGGAACATTTGATCCCCCAAACCTTGCCTTGGTGAGGCAAGTTTCGTCGCAAACAAACGTGATGCCATCACCTTCGGGCATTCCGACAGGAAGCAGCCAAAGTAAAACCTCAGAATCTCACACAGTGGGCTTGCTGAGTGGCAATATACAAGCTGCCCCAGCTGTTGTGAAGTGAATTGAGTTCATGGCAGGTGGAAAAAAAGAATGCAAGCCCAGTTTTGCAGGAATTGCAGCTAAAGCAGGTGTTAGTACGTTCACTTGATGATTGATAGTCTGGGCGACTCTGTGAACATGTCAAGAACCTGGCGCTGCTGCCCAAAACCGCGTAGAAGTTGCCCGAAACACCCACATCATACCTGCGCTTTCATGGCGAAACTTGCTCCGCTGACATGCTGCTGGCTGGTGGCTTCCTTCAAAACGCACGCCCGGTCGACAAAGGACACGCTGAGGCTTGCGCACGGACGTCATGCTTCGCTCAGCCAGTTGCCCATCCTGTCGTCAACTTGTATGACCCAAGCCCATTTATATACAGCAGCTTTCCATTGGCACGGCAAGCACAGGATAACGGCCACATGTGTGTGGGCAAAGACAGTGGCGGCTGAACAAAGTGAAGTTGCTAAAGGTTCGACCACGGCACTGGAGCCGAAAGCGGCCGCATGGACGTTGAGGTCGAGGGTGTATGGTTCAGGGTTTAGCACCAAGAAACCGTGCAAAACAATTGAGCAGTAAACCTTCAAAGCCAGAAACTCTAAAGTCAGAAATGTCACGTAACTCTTGTCTGACACATGAGAGTTCACAGTTTTAAGGCTTTGTGTCCAAAGGTTTGTGTGTGTGGCTTTTCACATGCAATACCATGCTCTCTGAAACCGTTTCGGGTCCGTACTCGAGAGCCGGCGAGGTATGGCAAAGAACCTCTGATAACGTGGTAGGTAAGAAAATTGCACGAAGGAATCAAGCAAGACTTTGAATGTGAGGGTTTCTAAAGCAACATATTCAATCAGAGGTTTGCTTGGTTTGTCTGGCCGACCATCCGCAAAAGGTGTCTTCAAACATCATGTCGTCGCCGAAGCTCATTCTTGGATTTCATGGCTCACGTCGCAGTAAACCCCTAAACACTAAAACCCTATTAACTGTCGTGTCAACATTTTATGGTTTCAGAGCTCGTGGGTCTCCCGGCTATGCTTCGGTGGCCAGAAGTTCGTGCATCATCGGTAGGGTTTTGAACCAGCTAAACAGCCACGCAGGGTTCTAAGGCTTCGTGTTCAAGGATTTTTCTCTGCCTACTTTTGGGCCGGTAGCGGTCTCAAAACGTGATGATTTGGGGGACACAAACTTGTGAAGCAACGAACTCTTGCTGAATGAGAAGCACAGAAAGAGATTCTGGGTTGAAAATGTTTTCTAGCTCGTGATAGTCGTCGAACGAAAACCAATGAGAAACACATCAACCCTTTCTAGGCCTACAATTTTGAAGCCATTTGGCCAGGGAAGCTGTTGAGGCATCAAGATTGCCGGAGCGATGAGAATTCGCACTGGTTCATTGGTTCGCTCGCGCTGCCTCTCCATCCGTCCTTTTTGTTGTTGCCTAGACATGGCCATTAACATGTCGAGAAAGGGTCTTGGCTTCAGAGCAAGCTTCCACTTGATTGTGTTGTGCTCGAACGCGAAAACCCTGGAGTGTGCTTGCTCTAACGAAAGGCGCCTCAGCAAATTGGTAGTTCTAGTAGCTTTCATGTTTCCATATCGCTCAACACGATAACAGCTCCGAAGCAGGTTCGAGCTTGGTTACCGGCGTCGAGACTGAAACTGCCCGTGGAGGTTTCACGAGTCACGAACACAGGGTTCAATCGCTTGAATGAAACGGATAGAACAGTCGATGGAAACCGAGCATAAAGGCATGTGCAGGAGCCGCCAACTCTGCAGCTTTAGCTTTGAAAATCAGACTGGTCGGCGTGTCTTGAAGCCTTTTGCACATGTTGGAGTTAAAAAGGGGCCCTCGCCATCAGCATGATTGTAGCCAGCCAAGCTGCCTTCGGCAGCGATTTCTCGCAGAACTCGATGGTTGTTAGCCCTTTGGCGATGAGCCTCAAGTCACACGAGCCTGCATGTGGCATGTGCAGCTAAGGAACTCTAACCGTACTGGGTAATTATGCTTCAAAAGGAAATGTGAGGATGAAGACTGCAAGAATACCCCAAATCATGCACTTGCCAAACTGTTGTAGGATGCAGAAACCCCTGAGGTACAGCAGCACAGAGGGCGCCAGAACATATTCAAACTTCATTGAGATGCATACCACAGGTGCATGGTCAGAAAGGCCGTCACCTGGAGCAAGACTTGTGAAGTAGAAACTGCACACGAGTGCCCGGAATATCCAGCTAAGGCTACGGCCAGAAGTGACAAGATCAGCCTGGGCTTCACTGCACTTCCCTGGTGGGCATCCCTCTACACTCTATTTTCATTCTCGAAGGGATGCCCGTTATGTGCGGAACCCACTTCGCGGCGGACCCACGCTCAAGCCGTGAACCCCCTACACGCCCTGCCGTGTGCGAGCCCATCATAGGGTTCCGACAATTAAGCCTAAACCCTGTGAGGCTTGCTATCATGAGGATGCTCGTTGTTTAGGTTTGGGGTTCAGGCGACTAGTGCCGAACTAGAGTCGCCAGGCACTCGCCAAACAAAATCACAAACCTGAGTTCTGCAGACTTTTGGCCGGTGTGGCCATCTGCGCAGTTTCTGACTAAGTCAAAACATCGCTGCTTCCAATGAAGCGGACATGAACCAAAGAACAGTGTTGCGATCAGAGGCCAAGTGTAACCAGGCGGCATTTCCTTGAAAGGAGTCTGCTCGATGTTCACACAACGAAGAACCGATTCGCTCATCGACCATGCAATAAGGTGGCAGTCTAGTGCCTTGGTTTCCATGCCGATTGAGCAACTCAGCACATGCCGTGCGCTGCTCCTTCTGACGAATATTGCGATCCGACTCCCTCTGGACGAGGCGCGAACGACAGGTGTACGTGGACTGCACAGCTGCTGTGACGGACCACTGGGCTTTTGCAGTCGAGGGTCTGAATAAAAGAGCAGCAAGATGAAGAACTTATAGTTGAAGCAACCCACACAATTGTATATCCACGGGCAATGGTGGTCCATCTTCAAGATGCACGTGCCTGGCAGAATGCTTGGGCCAATCAACAAACAATTGCAATGACCTATTGACTTAGAAAGGCACGCATGCGTCTTTGTTCGTTATGGTGCCCCGCGGAAACCCAAACGTTATTGGTCTAGCTCTAAACAACGCCAGACCCTAGACCTTCGTGCCTAAACCGCCTAATCAACTCGAGTACCACAAACCTGGGCCGCAACCAGAATTTTCTGAAACAATATCGAGCGTCCCCCCAACACTACAGAATTAGAGATTCTCATAAAGAGCTGGCGTAAGGCTAAACCAGTTCCCTAACCATTAAAAAAATGCTTCCTGAAACACTAAAGACTAGCCCTATTCCACAACACTGTTCGCATCCGCATCATGCTTAGGCCTGAACAGTCTTCTGCAACAAGAGCCCAACATCCGAGACCCCACCCCACCCACCCACACTTGGTATTGCAGTAGTGTGCGGGTGGGAGGGCTACTGGATGTAGCAGCTACAAATAATGGAGAGTTTGGACGGGGTTGCATGCATAAATGCATATATGAATATGAATACATGCTCGCCCCCGCCCCCCTCCAAGATCCGCATCCGAGTGCTTGTAGTCTTGAAAATATGTGTGAGTTGGGAATCTGCGTACTCAATCTTGCTTGGAAAGAGTTTTTGTCACGCAACATCTTGCTTATGAGCATTAAGTTTGCTTATGAAAGGGGGAGCCGGCCGGGGGCCAGGGGTTTTCCAACATAGCCAGGACCTCTGAACACCCCCCTACCTGGCTTCCGCTGGTTTCTTTTTGACGCCTAAACCCGTAACCTTTAGCCCTTAACTCTATAGGGCTTAAGGTCTAGGCATTACGTATACGATCAGAAATCCCTAAATGCCATAGAGTTATGCCTGTGTTTGTAGGGCTTGCGTCCCGGGGATGCAAGAATACTGTGAGCAAATGTCCTTTCACTACTTCCTGGGATTCAAAATATAAACAAGTTGTATCGATGCATGCTAGAAGTCAGGTTTTGCTTATCGGAGGATGACTGCTTGAGATATCTTAGCTATGGTTTTGCGTTTCGGATAGATGTGTTGCTTTGCTTACTCGGGCGTGATGACTTAAGATATGTTAGTGCAGGTACAGTGTCTAGTACAGAGTTCAGGTTTTGCTTATCGGGGGATGATTGCTTGAGATATCTTGGCTAAGGTATTGTTTTTAGGATGGATGTTCTGGGGGATGATTGCTGGAGAAACCTTAGCTATAGTTCTAGGATTGATGTCATGTCTTGCTTATTGGAGCGTGATTGCTCGAGGAATGTTGGCCAAGGTGTCGTTTTTAGGGTTGATTGCTTAAGATACTGCAAAACCTCGAGAAGGCACCAAAAGATCTATAAAACCAAAGATTCTGAGATGCTTTTCGGTACCTCCTCGAGAAACCGCTGCAACACCCTGAGAGGGTACACAACAAACCCAAAGCCTCGAGGAGGTCCAAAACAAAAAACAAACAACTATTTTGAGTTGGGGGCTGGGGGGCTGACAGTCTTTGTTTTGTTTTTTTTTGTTTCTTGGTATCTCCTCGAGGTTTTGAAACATTTTAGTCCTTGAACTTTTGTTGTTTTTGGTGCCTCCTCGAGAAATCAGCAAAACGTTGCAAAACCTCGAGGAGGCACCAAACAACAAAAAACACAATATTATGAGACCTACAGCTCCCAATGCTAAATAGTCTCTTAAACATTGATTTTTTTTTGGTTGTTTTGGTACGTGCAGCATCTCAACCTTTGAACTTTGATTTTTTTGGTACCTCCTCGGGAAATGGCAGCAAAACCTTGCAAAACCCTGCAAGGGTTCAAACAAATATAATAGAAAAACAATACCGTGGTGACTTGTTTTATAGAATGTGTTTGGGAGCTTATCGCGCTCAATATCTTATTTTTTAGCTTGCAAGATTTAAAAGCTTGTATGTTTCGAGTTTTTTGCATTACCAGATTACGACAACACTGGCAGGTGTGGCAAAACACATGTATAACCTCGAGAAGATGGCGGTCCAGAATCCGGCCTTCGAGAAACAGAACGAACCAGCAGCCACAAAATCCATGGATCCATATCTAGACTTGTTTGCAAAGCTCGTTCGTGTCGGTATCTACAGCACTTTGGGCTTGGAGTATTTTTATGGTTCTTCTAAAGGTAGGCTAGGTAGTGGTCGCCCCCTCCAAGTGTGGATCTTGTGGCCGGGGGGGGAGAGGGGGTGACCAAATATATTATATATACACACACGCACCCGCCCTTTGGCCTGTCAGCTCTCCTCAAGCCGGTGTTGGGGCTCTAAAAGGAAGTTGCAATGGTAATTCCATGTTACACATGGACAAGAAGCCCATGCAGCTGAAGGACGGCAGACTCGACAATGGTGACATCTGTCTGGCTTGTACTTGCCGCACCATTTGCAGTGCCTGCCACTTTCACCCAAGTTCAAATGCCCACGAGTTGCAGCCTCTGGCGCCAAGACAACTGCTTGGCTGAACTGAGCGACCCTAAACCCTAAACCCTAAACCCTAAGCCCTAAACCCTAAAGCCTAAACCCCGTCGTATGACCGCGCCTTCGCTCCCCTGATTTCTTGGTCTCCTGCAAACTCAGCGGTAATGCCACGGGCTTGTCTCTGGGCATGTACCTGAGGACAAGAAGGAAGCAACACGCCCATGGAGGGTAGCTGTCCGCAGCATTAGAGTGTCTTTTCGAGAGCAGCATCCTCTCTCTGTAGCAGGGGGGCTACATGGGAACGCAACGCTTTAGCACTCTCATCCTGCGGCTTTCGGCCGAAAAAATCAGGAAAAAAATTGGGGTTTCCGAAATTAGGGGTACCTTATTGGGGTCCTGATTATCAGGGAATCCTGCTGTTGGGGTGTCTATTTTGGGGCTTCCTTATTGTTGCAAACCCCCTTTTTTGCCAAGCTGCTCCCATTTGGGATCGTCAGGGATCTCGCCGGGGTGTGTCAATATACTACGCACCTTGGCTCAGTGTTGCTTGCTAGGCTCCGACAGATACTGTGTGGAGGCTCGTGGTACTTCTAACCCAAGAAGTACTGTACTTATTAGCACCCACCTATAAGCCCCTTAAGTGCCCTAATGTGCTTGCCATTGGGTTGTAAGTACAGCTATTATTGGGTTATGAAGTACCCTCAACCCTCAACCCTAAACCCTTGGGTTGTTGAATGCCATGAACCTCCAAGTGTCTGCACATCGCCTGACCGCCGAGGCGCGTAAGAAATCACCAGAAGCACCTGGTCACACATGGCACATGGGCTTAGGGAGTTGGGGTTTAGGGTTTAGGGTTTAGGGTTGTCACATGGGAGTTTACGAAGAACACGGGACCCCTGATATAGACCCCCAAATCGGAGGATTCCCTTTTCACAAGGACCCCAAGAAGGTACCCCTCATTTCCGAAACCCCCAGCTGGCATCTTCTGCAGACAATGCATGCCGATGGACCGAGGCTACCGAGATGTGACATACAGCACTGCAAGCCAAGACTCTGTGATTGGGACGAAGGCGCTGAGCTGGATCAGGCCTGGATAGTCCATGAAAGTGCCGTCAAAGGCATGCGTTGGCAGCTGAGAGATCTTGTAAGGCAGCCCACCCCCTCTCACAAAAAGGCACGAACCCCTAAAAACCCTAAACCCTAACCGCTAAAAACCCTAACCCCTAAAAACCCTTAGCAGTTGCGCTGGCCTCGGATCTCGCCGGCCGCAGCGGCGTCGGGCATCTGCAGCTTTGGGAGGCGTTTGTGTGTGAAACGGGAAGCCAAGGGGACCCAAGTAACCCTTGAACTCGAAAGCCAGCCGTTTCCTTCCTTGTTCATTAATGGGAATGAGGGGATCCCTCAATCGGGCTTTTCACGGGATTCGCTTCAAGTGGCTCTTCAGTCTTGGGAGCTTGGGACTTCAGGACCCTCTAAGAAGCCCTCTTTGAAGGGTAACAGGCAAACATGAGGAAAGCTGTTGTTCGCATGTTCTGTGATGACAGCCAGGGCTATCCCGTATCAAACGAATTCGTGCCGGTTGCCCTTTCTTGTGACGGCTGCTTTTCAACACCTTTACGGCTGGCCTGAAGATGCCCGGCTGTGTGAGACAAAAGCGGCGAGATGTGATAGTGCCTCGCGGCACAATTTTGCAAGGAGCCAGGGGGGGAGGTAGAGGGGTCCATCTTTTCATCGATGAGGCCATATGGGGGCCCTAGTGATCACACTAGTCAATGCTTGCGGAGCTGGTTCACTCTGAGGCCCAGCAGGTAAATGCCAGCAAGCAAAAGCATTGCGACGACAACGTAGGCGACCTTGGTGGACACTTGCAAGTGAGGAATGCTGTTATCCGGCTATTTGCTTAAGAACCCCCAAACATATGTGATAATACTCCCTACATTGCGCTTATATGGAAGAATACTTGATTTTGGGGGTTCTTATGCAAATAGTTGGTAGGAGTAGTAGTGGTGGTGGTAGTAGTAGTCGTCATGGTCGCGGTCGTAGTGGTGGTAGTGTCGTTATGACTAGTAGGGCGTGCGCGTCGGGAGTCAGTGAACTGTATAAGCCCAGCACCGGCAGGAACTTCAGCTTCTCATCGAAACGGCCACGCTTTGGGGAAGCCGCGACCTTCTCTACTTGCAAGATCTAGGGTTTAGGATGCACCATGAAAGCAACTTTCCACAAGCCAAGCAGAACCAGACAATACTGCCATCGCGAGCAATAGTCTTAGAAGCCCTCGCCTAAACCTTAAACCCAAACCCTGAATCCTGAACAATCCAAGGCACTCCGGCGGCTTGAGCACCCAGGAGGCGATCCTCCTCCATTGCAGGCGCTCCTGGACTCTGCGGTGGATTCGGGGGCCTAGAACATGTAGGTTTAGGGTTCAGGGTTTCAGGGTGTAGGGTTTAGGGTTCAGGGTTTGGAAGAACATTCAGGTTCGGTAGGTTAGGGTCATGTAGGGTTTAGGGTTCTGCAGGGTTACCTATAAAGGGTTGTCTAGAAATTACAGAACTCTCTTGCTCCTCCGCTCTGCTGGTGGTAGCTCCAGCAACCTTAACGGCCTTAATGCGTTACAACTTCACTTTGCTCAAGGCGACGTCCATGACAGCATTCAATGTCACCAGATCCACGCTTGGCTGACTTTTTTGTCTTCGGACGCTGTCTGGCCTTGCCACGGCTTTGAAAGGCCGTGTGAGCGCACGACTGGCTGCTTCGTGGGCTGCGAGCGCACGAGGCAACGGATTGCTCCATGACGGTGGCTTGGGAGCAGCTGGACGTGGAACATGTGGAGACCATGGACTTCTGTGATGTCTGCAGAATCAAACCAGTGCAACTGCGCGCATTGCCCATGCCTCAGCACAGGGCGTTTACAGCGATCATTCGATGCCTCTCGTATGCGGTGAATGCCTGGGAGTAAAGATCGGAGAGACTAGTGCTTGTAGTCGAGCTGCGTGATGAAGGCGTCCAAGATTCTTCGCTATCTGCGGGGTTTCTTGTAGTGCCTTGCGATTGAAGCTGAATGCAAAGACGGTAAGTAAGCTGCGTACACAGGTGTTCGCCAAGTAGCATCCCGACCAGCAACTCTCATCTTGTCCGACATGTCGTCACCGGATCCTGAATGCATTTATTCCCCGGCTAGGCGAAGTAAAGCACTCTGCAAGCTACACACCTGCTGGAAACGATCCCCGATTTCATCTTAGGCATCGTATCTTGTTAGGTGAAATCTCTGCCTTGCAGTCTGTAAGCAAGTCGGGGTTTCCGAAATTAGGGGTACTTTTTTGGGGTCGTGATCTTACGGGAATTCTGCCATTTGGGGATCTACATTGCGAGCAACGGGGCCTTGCGAAGAGCCAGCGCTTCCTGGCGAGACGCCGCCGCAACAGCAGGCGGAGGATGCGGGCCAATCCTGAGAAAGCCACGTGTCATTGGTGTCGGGACTGTTGGGCACCCTAGTGTGCGCCTTTGGCCGATTCCACAGTATAAGAAGCCGAGTGGTGTATCTACGCCACGTTGGAGCACTGCTGCTGCTGCTGCTGCTGCTGGTCGTGGTCGTGGTCGTGGTCGTGGTCGTGGTCGTGGTCGTGGTCGTGGTCGTGGTCGTGGTGGTGGTGGTGGTGGTGGTGGTGGTGGTGGTGGTGGTGGTGGTGGTTGTGGTTGTGGTTGTGGTTGTGGTTGTTGTTGTTGTTGTTGTTGTTGTTGTTGTTGCTGTTGCTGGTTGTTGCTGGTTGTTGCTGGTTGTTGCTGGTTGTTGCTGCTTGTTGTTGCTTGTTGTTGCTTGCTGTTGCTTGCTGTTATAGGTGCGGCTGTTGCTGACAGAAGTCATACCGGAGCGAGGGATTGGGCAAGTTGCGGCCGCAACAGTACCCAAACCGCCCAAACCCTACACTCCACACCCCAACAATGCAAACCGACAAATGGCACCGGCTTGGCAGAGAGAGAGCTTCAGACCGTGCGCGTAAAAGTATAAGTTGGTTTAGGTCGAGTCAGGATTTGGGGCTTCGAGTTGGCCTCGTGAATTGGAACTCTTTCCGGAACCTGTCGGCATCTGCAATTTCCAGTCCTGAATCCTAAACCTAAGTCCAAATGCAGCTGCACGCCCACAAATCTGAGCGCTGCGCTTCTTGAGATGCTCTGCAAAGTGAAGTGCTTGGCCAGCTGAAGGCCTGTTTGGAACGGGCAACTCGTAGGGTGCTCGGGTTTAAATGGAGTACGGAATGAGATATCCGATGTGATGACTGTTAAAGTACTCAGAGCCCTACTTATAGCCACCCACGAACCCTTAAATAAGATGCCTAAACACTCGAAGACCAGTCTTGAACCTTGCGCCTGCATACGTTTTCGACGAGGTTCATGTGTAGCTTTGTGCGATGCCCCTGACTTCTTTGAAGCCTGTGTGGCTCTCAACATGCATGAAAAAAGGAAGCCCGAAGCCTCGCAAAGGTCGAAGAGAGGTCCGAAAGCAGAGGGGGTGGCTTCTTCGAAGTCCCGCGTGCGCGTGCGGAGCCCCCCCCCCCCTCCCCCCCAGACGCCCCTAAACCCCAAACTCTAACCAACCAAGGGTTCTCGCGGTTTCAGCTTCCTCATGGCCCCCTGCGAAGCTGGGAGATGAAAGCGCCCAGGGGTAGAATCATGCCTCTCGTCGCGCACGGGGCTGCTTCTCTGCTCTGGGGGGAGCCCCCCGCTGGGTGTTGCTTGTTTGGCGCGTCAAAGGAATATATTGGGGGAGCCTTCGGTTTGCTGTGCGCCAGGGCTGGACCACTTGCTTCGCTGTTGCTCTTTGTAGGTCAGATTTTGAGTTGACCAATAGTGAACGGTGCTCACCAAGCAAAGCTGTTTCCAGGGGGGAAGAAGGCAACAAACCCTGTGTGCCAACGAAAGGCCCTGATCATGCGATCTACCCAAAACAACTCCTGCTCTTAACGTCTAATTCTTAGATTTGTCTTAATATCCCTTTCACTTAAGCGGGTCTTATGAGGGTCTGCAAAGCACCTGCCTTGTTCCCTGGCTTGAGCACGAAGGGTTTGGTTTTGCAGCACCCTGCGCAAAGCTTCGGGCCTCAGATTGCTCGGAGAACACAGAGACGGTTCAAGACATACCTCGCGGCCTTGGGCATCGTGGAAGGAGGGGGTTTCGGGGCCCTAGCGAGCTAGCGAGTACAGAGCCAAATGACGGGCGCTGTCAGCACCCGAAGCTCGCGCGAACTCAGAAGCAAATCACGGCATCCCGACTGGTCTCAACGGCAAGCTGAGGGGTCGTCGCATCACCATCTCCACGTATGACCAGCTCGGGCGGATACTTCAGGGACAGCGCACCTTCAAGGAATCATGAATTTTGATGCCGACGTTTATCCAAGTGGACAGGCACCACGGGCAGCGACATTTCAGCGGAGCAGGTGGTAGCCCCTAAACCCAAAGGTGTGGCCTCAACCCTAAACCCTAATGCCAGGTGTGTGTGTGTGTGTGTGTGTGCGTGTTGAGGGGCCAGGGCGCCCTGTTCGCTGCCATCGTCAAGGAGGTGGCGTGGTGGCCACCTCCACGTTTAGGGCTCAGGGCTAGATGGGGTTTAGGGTGTACCGCGCTTTTAGGGTTTAGGAGGGAGGCTTAGGGTTGAGGGCATTTAGTTCGCCAGTGGCGTTGGGCCCCCAAATCGACGCTGGTTTCTGTGCCATCGAATCGTAACGTGAAAGCCCGACACCCCCAAGCCTCAAACCCCAAACGCGGCAACAAAAACACCAGGCGCTGAACCCCGACACCCCTAACGCTATGCTGAACTTGGCATCCTAGGAAAAGTTAATTTTAGGTGTGCCTTAGGGGTTATAGTAACCCAAGAATAAAATTATTTCCAAGTAGCCCCAAACCCTAAATCTTAAACCCACTGCCCTATATAAACCCTACGAAATACGAAGCTCTATGTGAAGAAGACCCCGGCAACGCCTTCCCTCGAGGACATCCAAGTGCCCTCGTGCATCGCCCCACACCTCAACACGAAATCTCTGCGGGGGGTCATTTTGAGGGTCTTACTATTAATTGCTTAGGTTCCCCCACCAAAACATCGACATGTTCTTCCTTATAAGGGAAATATGGGGAACACTTGATGGCATCTTTTTGGGGCTATTAAGCAAGTAGTTTAAGGCTGGGGTAGGATTGCGTGACCACGCAAATAGGGCACTCATTGGCTTGTTGAGGCTTGAGCCGAGGAGCAATGGTTGGAATTCCAAGGCTCAAGAGGTTCACCTGCGCAGGCAGATTGCCGACACGAACTTTACAGACACATGGTAGCTGTTCAAAACAAGAAGGCACGCATCACTCTTAGAAAGGGTCCCCTTTTGAGCGACTCTGATCCCCGTGGTCTTTCTTAACCTACGTGTTTAGGATTTAGGGTTTAGGGTTCAGGGACCCGAAAGAAGACCCAACATAGACCGTCGGAGGCTCAAGAGCTGGTCCTGGGGCTTCGACCAAGCGCTGACCAGTGCGCCATCGACTGCAGAACCACCAATTGCTCTGGCACCCCGACATCTTGCAGATCCTTGTGCAGTTCAGGGTGTAGGGTTTAGGGTTTAGGGTCTTGGTTCAGGGTTTCGGAGTTTAAGAAGGTGCGTGCTCAAAAACACAAGTGGCTGCACCAAATGCAAAAAAGCATTTGCATCTTCAACACTGGTTTCTTGCAGCGGAGGCAGTTTTGCAACGTGATGCCCCAAACCCCAAACCCAAAACATAAACACTCAATGCTAAACCTTCCTTGAGCTACTATGAGGGTTTACGCGAATAGGGGACCCCCAAACATACACCCCCAAAAAGAGGGATTCCCGTATGATACGGACTGCACCCCCTGGTTTCGGAAGCCCCCCCCGATGAGGCTGTGCTCTGGTGGCAGCAGATGCTAGGGTAGTTTCCATGTGCAACGCCGTGTGCGATGAGAAACCCGTGACTTCTGCAAAGGGTTCAGGGTTTAGGGTTTAGGGTTTAGGGTAGGAGCTTTGGGTTCGGGGGCTCGTGTTGGCAGCGGGGCCTTGAGCTTGTCTCGTCATCTCGCCATAGTTTCTGGTCCTTTGTAGCCAAGCGCACCCCAAATGGGTGGACTTGTTTTGTGACTTTTCAATTTTTGGCATTGTTTTCGTTGCCTTCCTAGGAAAACTTGAATTTCCAAGAGACTAAAACCGCAAGCATCTGCTCCCTCTTTAAATTTTGTTGAACATCCTGCATCTCTTCTAGACTTAAACCGGTAATCCTGTGTTTCCCAAAGGCCTTCATGAGGGTCGTTCGCCAGCTGCAAATAGTAAGAGCAAGGGAGGGGTCGGAGGGGGGGAGACTACGCCCTCCCCCTC